GAAGGGATGTGAGATGAACACCTAAACTTGCATATGTATTTTAAATACCTCAAACTTTATATATAGAGTTATTTTGGCACCTAAGTCAATTATTATTTCTTTCAAAATGTAAATTTATGGTGTTAATTGCATAATTTAAAATGTTTTAAAATTCATGAAGACACAATTAACATTATAACCTTCCATTGCAAAATAAATAATGTTATCCTCAATCTATATAATTGCAACACTATTAATTTGCTATTTTAAATTATGCAATTAACCCCATAAATTTACATTTTTGAAAGAAATAATACATAACAATGGTGCGGAAATAACTTTTTATATGAAGTTTGGGGTATTTAAATTACATACGCAAGTTTGGGGTGTTTACTTCACACTCCATCAAGGTTTGGAGTATTTTTATTATTTTCCCCTAATAATAATAATAGTAATAGTAATGAACTAAAAGTTATTAATAAAATCATTATACATAAGTCACATTTTTGTTCATTATCTTTATGTGAATATACTAATATACGTAGTGATGGAGCATATGGTCCATGACCCCCAACTCACACACTCGCACTACACAAAAACAGGCACAACGACCCCAGGCCCGGTCCGTACAAATAGAAGGCCCTGTTCAACATAAAATAGGAGGCCCTAACATTTGTTAGGGAATATAATGCTTATAATACAGAGTAAAATATACTAGTGGTATCTAATTTTGTAAAGTGCAATTCTTATCATTGAGGTAATACAGTCATTTTCATTTTCATTACGGAGTATAATATATACAATTTAAAAGAAATAAAGAATTCAAAAATAATAATTAACTTATACTTCGTACTACTTATACTAATCAATTAAAAGGAAAAAAAGTAGGAACAAAACGCCTGAAACAAATGATAAGATAGCAGTAGAACGGATCAATGGAAGAATGCGGCCCTACTACACTGCTACTGCCGACGTCTGCACTCTTCCAACTGCCGCCCAAAGAGCCTCCTGAATCCTAAGTGTATGGTACTCTAATTTCAAGGTATTCAACTAAATCAAGGCAGTCAATCCAATGACAAATTTTGAAAATTTAAGCATCAAGTTATAAGATGACCGCATATCAAAAGAAGAATCGAAGACATCGGAAATTCGGACGGAAACCGATTATAGAAAATTCAAAATCGAAGATTAGCAGGTTGCTTCGTTCGTCGCCGATTGTTGTATACAACGTTAAAACCCTATTGGTATATAAATAAACTTTTTCATCTGCTCGAATTGTTCCAGAAATTGTTCTCGGAATTGTTGTGTGTGCCATTTGGTTTCTCCAAGAAATGCGCAGACAAACGAAGAGTCAGGTCCCGTTAAGAGGATTATCGATAAAGCAATGAGACACGCCACTGGATTGGGCCGCTGATAATGGTTTATTTAAAAATATCATTCCTAATGGGCCTTGTATAGTATTATCCTAATAAAAAATGGGGGGCCTTCAAAAACTGGGGGCCCTGTGCACTTGCACCAACTGCACCTGGGCCGGGCCGGGTCTGAACGACCCACAAGAGGCCCAATAAGCAACCAACCAACGCTCAAGTGGGACGCCAAGAGCAATGGACTACCCCAGCACCCAAAGTGGTCTACCAAGGGTGTAACACCCCGGCCCTCCAGAACCCGAGGTAGTTACTTCTGACATCTAGTACTGTCCTCACAAACCGCCACTAGTCTTTTCCGCGCACTTTGTCCTCACTCGTGCACACCCTGAGAAACTTCCCAGGGGGTCATCCATCCCAAGACTACTCCCATGCAAGCACGCTTAACTTTGAAGTTCTTGACTAATGAGCTCCCTTAAAAGAAGATGCACCTTGTTGTTATGAGTAGTACTATTAATCCGTTTAAATTAAATCTCAAGTGTTACAAAGGGAATCGATCCCCAAAGTCTCCATCCTTCGCGTGACTCCTCGATTCGTCATTTTCCAGCTTTCAATAGACGCATTTAATGCCCCACCACGTGCTCAAATTTGCTTTACATCAGAGCTCTATGTCATTAACTAACTTACATGTGTACATGCATTTAATGTATTTAACATTTATGACTAGTATAAATAGCACCTTTTTGATAGATGTAGCAGTTTGAACATCATTAATGTGATACACACTTCTCTCTCTAATTCTTGACTTTGCTTTTTTATTTTTTATTTTTTTACCGGGGGGGTTGGGGGGGGGGGGGGTTGGGGCCTGGGGTAAACTCGAATCAAACTCACTCCATTGAGTATTAAACCCGGGACTTTCCATAAGGGAGAGTGAGTCAGTGACCAGCTGAGCTGAACCACTTCCTCTACTTTGCCTTCTCTCTATTTTTAGCGACACAAAAAATATACAAGTACTAATAAAGGGGAGCACCTCAGGTTAAACAAACAATAGCACCCTTCATTCCGGAAGGATCTAAATCGTTGCCTTCATGCACCTCGATCGATTACCAAGTACTTTACTCCGATCTTGTTGAGGAGTTGGTACCTAAGGAAGTCTGACAACAAGAACTTTTCTGGCACCTTCATGTCCTTAATTTTTCGAGCCCTCAGTCAACACTTTATTTGCATCTTTCTCCATGGCAGCAGCACCTCCTACCTGCCACAAAAATGATCCCAACAGCCCTCCGATAACGAGTTCTACGCCATTTGTATGTAATAGAATTGATCCTTCCATTTCTTGTGAGATGAAGGAACTTCATTGAAGAGCCTCCACTCCAACACATGTTGAAGGTTGGTGAACCCATGGTTGTTGACATATATATCCATGCCCCCCGCAAAGGTTGAAGCAAAGAAAGGAATGGTTGAGGCTTGCACCCATCTTCTTCTCAGCACACATCACGTGAAAGTAAGTGATGTAGGAATAATGACTACTCCTCGGACTCGATCTGCTCATCAACATAAGGTGTCCTCTCATCCAACCACCCCTCGGACTCGATCTGCTCATCAATAGAAGGTGTCCTTAGCATATCCTTAGAATAAGCTTCAGATGACATGACTAATGAGACTTCGAAAGCTGAGGTGTCCTAACACTAAGGGAAATCTAGAGTTTTGGTCTAAACACTAAATCAAAGCCCTAAAGAGAGAAGTATGAGAAACCTACGAAGAATTACCCGGAATATGGTTGTTAGATCTCCCAGAGGTTTGTTTAATCTCTAGATTTTAGCAGAGCTTCACTTCAAACAACAAAATGTGTACATAAAAATAAAATCAGACTTGGGGCATTTATAGGCAACTCAACTATATATGGTTACCTCTGAATCACCCCCACGGACACGTGGGCCCCCAGGAGCAATACCACCCACATGCAAGGCATCCTCGACAATATCAAGGCTAGCATAGGTCGGTGTTTCAAATGACCATTCATATGCACCAGGCCCCTCCACACAGTGCTACGCTTTGGACATCAGGAACATTTAAACACGGGATCCCCACTTACAAAGGCCTGCCCTCAATTCCAGACAAGGGACACCCGACCACTAACGAAACCTAGACATATGCACATAAAAAAGCTCCCACTGCTATTACCCTCCGGGAAAAATAGTATACTACTATTCAGGGGCTGCCTCGGTGTAGCACCACATCAACTCCTCCAGCTCGAAATGCTTTTAGTCAGCAGGAATGGGGGACTGGGTGTAACACTTGAGATTAATTTAAAAGGATTAATAGTACTACTCATACCAACAAGGTGCATCTCCTTTTAAGGGAGCTCATTGGCCAAGAACTCCAAAGTTAAGCGTGCTTGAACGGGAGTAGTCTTGGGATTGGTGACCCCCTGGGAAGTTTCTCAGGGCGCGCACGAGTGAGGACAAAGTGTGCGGAAAAGGCTAGTGGCGGTTTGTGAGGACAATACTAGAGGTCTGGAGGGTGTGTTAGAGTTATTACCTCGGGTCCTACGGGTCGGGGTGTTACAAATGGTATCAGAGCAACCCTGCGACAATGTGCTGATCCGTTGGATATCGGGTGGGCAATTAGCAGGGGAAAAGATTCTGGGATATGATTGAGATTGGTTTATGGGAGCTCATAAGTGGGGGTGATTGTAACACTTGAGATTAATTTAAAAGGATTAATAGTACTACTCATATCAATAAGGTGTATCTCCTTTTAAGGGAGCTCATTAGTCAAGAACTCCAAAGTGGGGGTGCTTGAACGAGAGTAGTCTTGGAATGGGTGACCCCCTGGGAAGTTTCTCAGGGCGCGCACGAGTGAGGACAAAGTGTGCGGAAAAGGCTAGTGACGGTTTGTGAGGACAGTATTAGAGGTCTGGAGGGTGTACCCGAGTAATTACCTCAGGTCCTACGGGTCGGGGTGTTACACTGGGAGGACTACCCTTTGATCCTTTTTTAATCATCAAAAGAACATGGAAATACACAAAATCCAAGAGGTAGGGAGATACAACACTTTTGTATCATACTCCCTGTGCCCTTAAAACTTTCCCAACTTTCCTTTTTTGGATGTCCCACTAACTTTACCACTTTCCCTTTTAAGTAAAGAATTTGTGATTCCAGTTAATTCTCTCTCTCCTCAACACAAACCTCAACCACACAGTTTTTACTTTATTAATTCTCGTGGCGGTCAAACTTGACAAAGTTTTAAGGGACAGAGGTAGTAAGATTTAGTGAGATTATGCCATCATACAAATAATCACATCCAACATCAACTTTTCTGCGCAAACAACAATTGTATGTGTCAATAAATAATTTCATATGAGATGAACAAAAAAGGATGACACATTCACACCCCATCCCCTGAGACCTCCAACATATAATCACAATCTGACAGATAGAGAGTGAGACTTTGTCCCGATACTTACAGAGATCCTATGCATTTGTTGTCGGGATTCGAACCCGTGATGTAACCCTTTTGACACTTTCTGGTTACCGGTTGAGCTAGGCCCACATGTTCACGTGAGATGAACGTGACCGACCGAGAAATGTGTACAGAAATTGCAAGACTTTGTGTATAGAGAGGAGTATATCATTGGATCTTCTATTACAAATCGATGCGTTATACGGAACTTTCAAACCGTTTATGGACAGTCGCATTGGCGGAGTTTATTTATCGTAGTAAGGAAGTGCGTATAATATTCTTCCCTTCTTTTAATGGCACGGTGAAACTTCAAGTGGGACAAGGAAATTCAAGATTTCACAGCAACTAGTCAGGGGCACACTGTGTAATTGACGTAGAAAACGGTGGCATTTCTTTAAGCATCTTCTCCATTTATTATTTAAAGAAATGAAATGAAATATCACACTCGGATTCTCTTCTTCTTATCAATCAGCGTTTTCCAGAACTCGCTAGGATCAATCTTCTCATCCATTCAAGTCAAAGGAAAAAAGTTGAATTGAAAACACTCCGAATAAATAAAGAAAATCATAGAAAAGCTGCAAACTTCTAAAGTTCGTGTTCAGGTATGTGCGTTCACTCTCAATCTATGTGATTTTCCTATTCATTCTTTGGTTTTCGTTTGTTCCTAAAGTGATTTCCTGGTGTCTTATTCGAGTGTTAATCAAACATTTGAAATTCCAGTTCCTTTTGTTTCTGATTTCTTTTTCTTTTTCCTTGGAGTTTGGTTTGTTAGAGCTTTATGTCTTGTGTTGGAATGTATTTATCACATTTTATCTAATATTTTCCACAGATTAATTGCTTTTTCACTTTAATGTTCAATTACAATAAAAATCCCATACGGGAAAATCTATGAAAAATATTTGGATTTAAACTGTTACAGATTTAATGCTTTCTAAATCTGCAATTCCGCTCTCTTGTTATCTTGGGATGGTGGTGTTTTGCATTTGCTAACCTCTTCATGAAGACATTTCTTAGTCAACATGGTTTTGAGCTTGAGATTTAGTTCTTTTTCCACCAACAGTTCTTGGTGCTCAACAACTTGTATCCTTGTTAGACATTAATATGCTCTAAGAATATTTCAGTCTCAATGGCTGCCTCTACCAAATTTCTTATATATCATATCATCATTACCCCAGTGTCGCAAAGGCTCATGCCTATGGTAAGGTAAAGGGGTGGGATGTACACGGTCTTATCGTAATAACTTCACTTTGTCTTGACAAGTCTATGAAGCCATAAAAAGAAAATCAGGGTATTTAGTTGCCTTTACGCGGCTGTTGATCTTCACACTTATTGAGGCCCTTTTTGGTAGCCAGTTCTGGCTTATTTTGGCTTATCCTGCTCGTGAATAAGAAAAATAAGCAAGACTATTTATTTGGCTGAGATGGATGTTACCAAATTCTTTTTCATTCAAAATTTACAGTTTCAGCAAAATAACCCTTACGGCCTTAACAAAGAGGGCCTTGTTGTTTTTATTACTCTGTTCTCCTATGGTAAATGTCCATGGAGTAACTCTGCAGTGAAGTTACTTCATGAATGGTTCAGATGAAATAATTTAAAGCATCTACTTTTTCCTCATCTGAACCGTCTATCTAGTAAGTTCCCATTGGAGATGCACAAATTCACTATGTGACTATGTCCTTGTTGCAATTTGGTAAGCATATGCAAGATCTTTTGATTCCTGCTTTACTGTTCTACCTTCACCCCTATTATTTCTACAAGTTTGATTTTGTACAGTTTTTTACTGAAGTGGAAATCATGTGGTAGAAATGTGTTTAGAAGAGGGAGAAACATCATTAACCACATAATCATTTCCTTAAAAGGTAAGATAAGAAAAGCTATCTCAGGATGAAAAAGTAAGTCACTTCATGAGTGGTCCTGATGAAATAATGTAAAGTATCTACTTTATCACCATCTGAACCATCTATATAGTAAATGCACAGTGGAGATGCATAAATTCACTATGTCCTAGTTGCAATTTGGTAATCATATGCAAGAGCTTTTGTTGCCTGCTTTACTGTTCTACCTTCATTCATAAGTTTTCTCCAGATTTGTCTTTATACTGTTTTAATGAAGTGGAAATCATGTTGTTGAAATTTGTGCAGAAAGGAGAGAAACAATATGAACCACATAATCATTTCCGTATTTGGAAATAACATACTCCCTATATTATAGGGACTGATGAAAAAGGAAAAAATGAAAATAAAAAAGGAAGCTGATCAACCCCTTTCTTGTCTTTGCAGATATTTTTGGTTATACACTTATACAGATAATACACTCCCAGCTGTGATCAGTAGAAGTCAAAGTCAACGTGTTTTAAGTCAAAGCTCCAGATTTTGATTTAAGAAAAAGCAAACAAACAATTCAAAGTCAATTCCAAATGCAAACCTCTGAGGTACCTCAATCATCATCCAGCCTTCTCCAGAAGTTGTACCATAAACGACCTAAACAGCAAGTTGATGGGCAATGTTACACCACTTTCCAAGGAGAAAAAAATGCGTTCCTGGTCGACAATGAGCAATTCTTCACTTTGGACTCATCAACCGCGTCCGACTGTGTGGCCTACGATTCACCCACCACCGTTTCCTCAAACTGGAGTGCCTTTTCTCCTCATTGCTCACATTCTTATGTCTCGGACTGTAATACTTCTGGGTCCCCCTTAAGCGGTTCTTCTGGGGTTGTTGATGACAGCAATGAAATGAGGCACGCGTTGCGTGAATTGGAGAACAAGTTGCTGGGTCCCGGCTCCGAAGTCGATGATGATACAGGCAGTTGTTCCTTTACGGTATGTTTTGATCTTGTAAAATACAAAGGAATGGAAGAAGTTACTTCTGTTTGATTTTAATTTGGTAAATGCAAAGGAAAATGAAGCATGATTATTTTTACACGTTATATTCTGTCTCTATCTTTGTTTCCCCCCATTATTTCTTTCTTTTTGTTCTTCCTCCATGTTTTCCTTCCTACTCCGTGTTCTGGAATTCCAGTTTACATTGGAAAATGCAGTGGAACGGATGATACTTTTAGTTTTTTGGTCGTTATATGATAGACGCATATAAATAAAGTAAGTAATGCATATAACTAAAGGAAATTATTTCTAGAGAACCTCCCCCTACATTTTCTTTACTTTTTATGAAATTTCCTCCATGTTTTCTCTCCCTAGTATTTGCCAGATTCCAAGCGGGCCCTGAGCGATGTGGTCTCAAAGCCTTTTTCTTCTTCCTTGACAAGATGGACCAAGATTGTGGAGATAGCCCCGAACTTGGAAACGAAGGAGCTTCTCACGATCTGTGCAGAGGCTGTTTCAGATGCTGACGTGTCTACAGCAGAACTTCTAATGGGTGTGCTGGAGAGAAGAGTTTCGGTTTCAGGGGAACCCCTCCAGAGGCTAAGCGCTTACATGCTGGAAGGTCTCAGGGCACGGCTACTCTCTTCTGGAAGCACAATCTATAAGAAGTTGAACTGCAATGAACCAACCGGGTCAGAGCTGATGTCATACATGCAAGTCATGTACCACATATGCCCTTATTATAAGTTTGCCTATGTGTCGGCCAATGTTGTGATCCAGGAGGCAGTTTCCAATGAGAACCGGATCCACATCATCGACTTCCAGATCGCCCAAGGGAGTCAATGGATGTTCCTCATCAAGGCCCTCTCGCAACGTCCAGGTGGTCCTCCTTTCATCCGTGTGACGGGTGTCGATGACCCCCAATCCATCCAAGCCCGAGGTGGAGGACTTAGGCTCGTCAGTGAGAGGTTAGCGAAGTTTGCCGAGTCCTACGGGGTGCCCTTCAAGTTCCACGCGGCAGCCATTTCAGGCAGCGAGGTTGAGCTGGAGAACCTCCACGTGGTCCCAGGAGAAGTCCTAGCCGTTAACTTTCCCTACAGTTTACACCACATGCCGGACGAGAGTGTGACCACCGTGAACCACAGAGACAGGCTGTTGAGACTGGTGAAGAGCTTGTCCCCGAGAGTCGTTACTCTTGTTGAACAGGAAGCCAACACCAATTCCGCCCCATTCCTTCTGAGGTTCCGGGAGACTTTGGATTACTATGCAGCAATGTTTGAGTCTATAGACGCGGCCCGCCCACGGGATGACAAGCAGCGGATCAGCGCGGAGGAGCACTGTGTTGCGCGGGATGTTGTCAACTTGGTGGCGTGCGAGGGGGGTGATAGGGTGGAAAGGCACGAAGTCTTTGGGAAATGGATGATGAGGTTGATGATGGCCGGGTTCAGTCCTTGCCCGTTAAGTGCTTCGGTTGGGCAGGCCATGAGGCAAGTGTTGAGCGAATACAGCCCTAATTATTGGCTTCAAGAAACCAATGGTGCGTTGTGCCTTGGATGGAAGGGTCGGGCTTTGGCAACTTTCTCAGCATGGAGATGATTAAAAAAAGCAAGTTTTTATTTAGTCTGTAAAAGTTGTGTACTAATATCTTCTAGAGTTTATGATGATGGTTCAGACATTCCTCTAATCCCATCCATCCCTGCAAGGTTGTGGAAATGGAAATGGAACTGTTTTGGTTCGAAGAGAATGTGCACACCCTTGCCTCTGGTGTGTTGTTTTCTGTGTATTCGATCTTCTTGCAGCTATTTTGAGCTTACGTTTTGCAGATACAATTGTGTCTCGTTTTTGTGTGGGTCTCCCCGCCCGGAACTCTTAACCATAGTCTCAAACCAGGAGAAGGTGCAATCTTCCCATCTCCCCTGCAAACATACCCTTAGTCACATGAGTTGTATTCATTGTATGCTTGAATGGGTGGGTAAAGAATTGGACTGGTTTTAGTTTCCACGATTTCAAACTGGATTTGGTATTCAAAGACTCAAAGTCAGTCACTCAGTCAAAACAAGTTTCGATTCCTCTAAAATAAACTTTTTTTTTAAATATAGGTGAATTAAGTACAAGGAAAGCATTTGTTAAGAGATAGTGGACTTTGAACACATTTAACAAACTTGGTTTCACACAGTATTTTTTTCTATTCCTTTTTTAAGATAATGGCCTTGCTTGACAAATTATAGTATCAGTCAGCAAATAATGGATTGCGTTTACAGATTTCGTAGTCGAATTTGACGTGCCAGGTTCGGGGATTTTGGTGGAGTAGGAAGTGGAGGGGTCATATTTAAATTTTATATAATTTTTAGATTTAGAAAAACTGAAATAAAGTGAAGAAAATAGTATATAAAAATATATCATCTAACTAATTATATAGTTATTTGTAGTCTAAAATTTACAAATTCAGATAAATTAATAAAGTAAAAAATTCCCTCTCCGGCACTTAAACTTACACTTAAATAAGTGTCAAGTTTGAGTTTCATGATCTTCAAACCATCTAATGTTTGACAATTACTATTTGTACTTGTAAATGTGTACTTGTAAAGTTCATAACAAACTAATTTTCAAATTTTGTATTGAAAAGATTATTTAAAATTATCTTTGTGATATAAATCAATGACAAAAATATTAGTTATACATTTTTTAAAGACAAAAATATGACTAGTTTTCCTTTTCCTTTTAAACATAACAAACAATTGATCAACTAATATACTTCTAATTCTAATTCTCACCCAACTAGTAGCATCAATTGTTGAAATTTTTTCGGTTTTTGCAATTTTTACCGGAAAGAGTTGCTAGAAAAACTTTCCGACAATCACAATGATGGGTTTCACAACGGTGGTGACACCGGTGATGGGGCTAGTGAACTAGTGGCATCAAAAGCGGGTCAGTAACACTGGCATTTATTGATGGTGATATAAAAACTGCCAGTGACATCATGTTTTTTTCAAATTTATTACGTAGTACTACATATCTTATTAGTCACATTTTTTGAGTTTTTTTCCGAAATAATGCTAATAAATAAATAATTCCCAAAATACTGTTGAATTAAAAATAATTACCAAAATACTGCTAGGTTAACCGTGGTTAAGAAAAGCCGCTACTTGAAGTGGTGGCTCTTCTCTTACAATACAAAACCCGCCACTCCAAGTGGCGACTCTTCTCTCACAGCACATTTTGTACATATATCAAACGCAGTATGTTTCAAGAATCTGTTTAACTGCCTCCTCGATTGAATTTTGAGCTAAAATTTGGTGTTGCATGAGAAGAGCCGCCACTTGAAGTGGTGGTTTTCCTTAACCATGGTCAACCCAACAATATTTTGGAAATTATTTTTAACCCGACAATATTTTGGGATTTATTTATTTAATTAGCATTATTCCGTGAAAAAACTCCATTTTTGCACGTATATAAAAAGGTTCTCATTTTTTTTAATAAGCTTCAATGTAATCATATTATGGAAAAATCTCATAAATGAATATATTTTTGAATAATGCAGAGTCAAAGTTTGATTCTAAATTAGGTTAGAAAAATTCTTAATTAGTGCGAAGCTAAAATCCATTGTCTTGAACACATAAATAAAAGTTGCATGGAGCAACAATGTTGTTGAATAAGTAAAACTCATGTGCGTCACTTTTGCCCTCAACCGAATAACAGCCTAATGTTACTCTACACTAAAATTACACAGACTTTCTTCTTTCTTCATGTTCTTCATAATATAAACACAGCAGCTTTTCTGCAAATTTTGGGACTCACATTTCTCTCTTCCATCAACGGCAAGTATTCACTAACATTTTATCAGCATTTTATCGTTTATTTCTCTTGAAAATATGATATAATTCCTACAGATATATATATATGAAACGAGATTAATTAAACAGGTCATTAACGAGAAATTGTGATCTCTTTTGCCAATTCAATGCAATTTTCATGAAATAATAATAAAAGAAAGAGAATTCGGGTGAAATCTTTTCCTACAAATAATATGACCAATCTTTCCCCTTCTTTTCTGTCTAGCATCCTTACCTATTCATTAAAACGCCCATGCAAGAAAAAACGATCTTTTACACTGTACATTTTCAGATGTCCTAAACACATATATAATCCAAGCTTGCATTTCTAGAAGTCTATCCTTAGGTGATGGGGATTGGAAGCCAGAGGGTTCTTTTATATAATATCTTTGAGCCTCATGTTTTCATATGACTAGAAGTCTAGATCTCAAGATCATAATACGTAGTATTTCTTTTTTGTCAAAAAAAAGCCTTTGCTAATCATTTTTTTGTGTGAAGAGTATGTTGGGATTTCTGGGAATTCCATGGAATGGAAAAGTTTGTTTTCTGATTATTGGTTGTCTTGGGAATTGAAGCTCCAAGAAAAATTAAATAAGTTTGATTAGTTGTAAATTTTTATTCACATACTTTTTGGGTTTCTGATATTTCATATCATAGACAAAAATAAGTAAAGCCCGTATCACTCATCAGATTATTCTTGGCATGTAAAGCAAGAAAAAGAGAAGAGTAGGGGTGGAGATGGCAGCAGAAGGATCATCATCTGAGAACAATGATTGGCTAGCAGTGAGGAACTGGGGAAACGTACAGAAAGAGCGTGAAAGGGAAAAAAGGCGAATGCGTGATCGGGAGAGAAGACAATCAATGAGCGAAGAGCAGCGCGAGAGGCATCTAGCCAGGCGCCGTAGAAACTACCAGCTGAGAAGACAGAGAGCCTCCTTGATGGCGAGTCGCCCTCCTCTTCCTCCTCCTCTTCCTCCTCAAACTCGCGGAATTATTATTCCTAGAACTAGAAGTAGCTTCCACCAGTGTGATGAAACCTTTCAGCTTGAGTGTACAAAGGACCATGAAAGGCTACTTGAGGCATCATTATCAACCATGTCTAGTTCTCGCCCTGGTACCTCTTTGCTTCTCAAGATTTTTTAACCGTTAATCGGATTAGTTAATTACACATCTGCTAGCCCCTAGGTGTTGTCCAGGTGGTGCTGGTCAGGATGCAATGACACACGTAAAATACCCGTACCCGGAAGGACTGCATTTTTACCAAATTAAGCATCTCGCGAGATTACTAAATAGCCCATCCGGTGAGGCTCATGACCATATTCATCATGTTGAAGCACAAGTGTCTGCCAATGCCAAATGCTGTGATAGTACTACCATTTCCAAGTGTTAGTATGTTTATTATAGTTTGTGCGTGCATTTCTTCCTTGGGTATTTTTCTTTTTACTATTTCTATCACTCATTGTTTAGTTTTTGCAAAACTGTCAATGTTGTGGTTTTAGTCCTGCTAAATTGCATTCTTCAAGACAGAATACAAACCTTAGTGCATGTTTGAGGTAACTTCTAAAAAGTAAAAAACACTTTTTCAAAGAAATATATACTTCTTTCAAAAAAAAAAACATTTTGGTTCTTTTAGTTTGACAAAAGCACTTAAGTTTTTACTCTTTTACATGATACACAATGGAATTATTAATTCTCAGTTTGTGTTAATACCATAAAACGAAGTCTACGGCTTAACCATGTAACTTATGGGATTTTGATTCACAAATTAGGTACACTATGGAGACGTGTACGGTTAATAGATTTGAAACGTCTAGCACGAGCCCTCAACTCTGCTCCCAAAGGTATGTCTAAGAAATGCAAACCAGGTGGGGATGGGGGGAGATGAAGAACAATAAATATGGTCATTGAAACTTCAATGCAGGGGAAAAGGTTGAGCTCATGGGTCATATGCAGATTATATGTGGCAAATCGGTGGATGAGCCTATCACTGAAGTCCAACAAATCAATGCATGTAATCATCTCCACCCAACTCTTATTAATCGCGTAAAGTAAAGAGACTGTTCTGTAACACTGAAATTGGCTAGATATGCTAACTTTCATGAAAGTTTTGCTGAAGTGGCTGAATATGTTCAAATATGGAAAAATCATGTTTAGTCTTCTATATTTGATAAGCAAGGATGAATCAAACAGACTAACACTGTATTGTATTGTGGTCTATAGATTCAGGTGTCTTCGCCCCGTGATAGAGCAATGAAGTATTAGCATTGGGAAGAAAGATGAGCATTTTCTGTTTTAAGTTCTTGACACACACAAACGGAAAATTATATGGTACACCCGGTTGAACCAGGAGTAATCATTTGTAAATTTGAGTCAATTCTTATGCTTTTATGTGCTTCCCGGATCAGTTCGAATTTCTCCCTCGTCTCTTTGCTCCAGCTTACCAGCTACTAAGCAGACTGCAGTCTGCAGCTAGCTTGTATGTTAGTTACTCCGTACATACCACAATGCTTTCTCAAACCAAATTGGAGACCACAAGTCAAACATTCCCTATTGGTCAATCAAATCGCACCACTTCTTCAGCCCTTCAACCTCAACTCTTTCAAACTTCTCTTTTACTTCTTTTTTGTTTTTCTTTATTTCAATAGTTATCAAACTCTATTCATATCTTAATTATCCAATTTCTGAAAAAATTACAGGGAATGATAACTTGATCTCTTTCTTTCGCAAATAGTAATCTATTCCCTACCAACTGTTCGGAAAAAGTTCAAAGTGAATTTTCCTTCATTTCGTGAGTAAATGTTTATGGCTTGTTACACTTGATTAAAGTACTGACGGTGTGTGATTTTTTAAGTAGTAGTTCTTTGTTTTGAATAGATTCAAGTAGCTTTTTTTGCTACTTCTACATATTTAATAATTTGTAGATTTTGTTGTTTTGAATACATGTTTATGAAATTAGCTATTAGAGTTTAAGTTTGTAGTTTTATACATATTATATTGGTTCAAATATTACTGTACTTTATATGATAATTTAATAGGCTAATGTCCTATTTTTCTAACAATACACTTAAGAGATATTACCCGAAATAGCACTAAAACAGTTTGAAAATTCCAAAATATAGGATTGCCATGTTTTTATTCCCAAAATAGGACTAATTACTGTCATGTTTTGGCAGTACCAGACTTCAAACATGACATTATTTTCTAAACATGTCAGTAATTAGTCCTATTTTGGGAATAAAAAACATGACAGTCCTATCTTGGAATTTTGAAACTGTTTTAGTCCTATTTCGGGAACCTTCCCTACATTTAATTGAGCCTTCATAAGTTTTACAATGTGCATTATAATAAGATTGGTTGAGTTTTGTTGATCACAAAGGTTCATGGGCGGAGCTAGGGGTGGGCCAACCTAGGCCATGGCCCATCCCAAATTTTAAAAATGGCTTAATTTTTAAGGTAAAAATATTTCGTGTAATTTTTTTCTAAAAATATTCTTTGTACCGGCCCAGTGTCCTGGCTCCGCCCCTGCAAAGGTTTATTACACAAACTTGTACAATGATTAAAGTATTCTTTTCAAAAGATTTTATCAATTACAAATTAGCTAAAATAGCTAATCTTATTATTTGGAATGCGGTCACTGTGTGTAAACTTTTGAAATGAGTTTTATGTTTCACAAATATGAGTATAACGTTCAAAATAATATAAAACGAGCACAATAAATTTTCCAAGTCAAGAATGACAAAGTATACATTGTTTGGGGTAATTTACCGAAATACGGGAAAAAGGGGTTGGGGTTGCCAAAATACGGGGATTTTTCTAGGTTTTACCAAAAAACGGGAGTCGGAACTGGGTGTTCCGACTAGAGGTTGGGTTTCCAAAAAAAATGGACTCTCCCCTCATGTCGGATTAGTGACTTCCGACTAGGAGGTTTTTTTATTTTTTTTATTTTTTGCCGAATTCTTAAGGTTTTGATTTTGAGTTTTAAAAACTAAAAATTTTAAATTGGGCTAAACCTCTACTCGGAAGTGAGGAATCCGACCAGATTTCAAAAAAAAAAAAAAACATAATTATTTATTTTTATATTTTTTAATAGTTGCTACAAATTGCCAATTTCTTTAATAATTCCGAAACAATTTTATTTAAATTATTCCAATCATCATGATTCAACTTTTACTTTATTTTATTTATAATATATATTTTACATATAATTTTTACATGAATCAGTAAAATCAATCAATCCAACCACTTCAACCAGGAATTTCATAAATGTTAGCAGATTCGGCCAATTACACCCGATTTGGGTATTATCAAAGAGGGTTTCCAAATAAAAAACTTCGTATGGAAGGGTGCATTCCAAAATGCCTTATTTAGTTTTTTTATTGCCCGGCCGCAATAAAATACTCTTCTCACAGTGGTGTGTATAAGTTGTGCATAAAATAATCACGTGTATTTAGGTCTAAAAGTAGAGATGAATTTTATCAATCCAGGTTCTGAAAGATAGATGAAAGTTTAATATTAACACTTGTGATTCACATTTTTAGACCCGGATCATAAAACCTCAATTCGACTCAGTAAGGATACAATCTTCTGAAATGCAATTAGCCTATATCATGAACACGAGTTGTAAAATTGACAATGATTTACTTAATATATCAATGAAATTTTAATATTCATACTTGTGATTCACATTTTTTAGACCCGGATCATAAAACCTCCAATTCGACCTAGTAAGGACACAATCATTCGAATTTTATGCAATCAGCCTATATCATGAACACGAGTAGTGAAATTGACCACGAGTTACTTAATATATAGATGAAAGTTTAATATTAACACTTGTGATTCACATTTTTTAGACCTGAATCATAAAAATCCCAATTCGATTCAATAAGGATACAATCTTCTGAAATGCAATTAACCCATATCATGAACACGAGTTGTAAAATTGACAATGATTTACTTAATATATCGATGAAATTTTAATATTCATACTTGTGATTCACATTTTTTAGACCTGAGTCATAAAACCTCCAATTCCCCTTAATATTAACACTTGTGATTCACATTTTTTAGACGAAATCAGCCAATAGATGAAATACAAATTTGATTTTGTTTAGAATGCAATGTTTAGATGAAACCACCACCACGACCACCACCACGTACCACCACCACCATGACCACCACCACTACCACCACGACTACCACCACCACCACCACCACGACCACCACGACCAACACCACCATGATCACCACCACGACAATCACCTCCACCACGACCACCACCACTACGTACCACCACCACCACCACATGGTGGAGGGGACATATCAGGGCCGAGCACCCAACCTACCATTGATTTTCCCACATTATTATCAGTACTCTACACAGCCAGATGCATTTTTTACCACATTTATGGATTCATCATTTTACCATGAAGACACAACGGTGGTTTAGAACACTGACGGCGGGGACATATCAGGGCCGAGCACCCAACCTACTGTTAATACAACACATTTATTGTATCTACATATTTATAAATAAATTACATTGAAAACCACATTTGTTTTGTTCACTTTCATTGAAATTACATAAATTGCATTTGAGGAAGCGGTCCAGCCCAGCTGGTCGCCGACTCACTCTCCCTTACGGGAGGTCTCGGGTTCGAAACTCAATGGAGTGAGTTTCAGCCTAGTTTACTCTAGGCTCCCCCAGCCCCCTCCCCCAGACGCCCCCTGGAGTAAAAAAAAAAAAAAAAAAAAATACATAAATTGCATTTTAAACAAAATCAAATTTGTATTTCATTTTATGAATTTAATTCACAATACGGATGGATTAATAAATAAAATAAAGTAACCAATATTTTGATATTAAAAAAATCAAACTCTATATTTTCCATTTTAAATTTCAAAAATACAAATAAACAAATCAATAAATTTAGAAGTACATAACTCCACCTTATTTAAAATACAAATAATGTTTTGTTATTATGGAAAAATCAGATGCATGTTTTGTTATTATGGAAAAATCAGATGCATGTTTTGTTATTAGTTTTAATTAAGTAATAAAAAAACTTCCTGTCGGATTTGTGAAATCCGACCATAGGATGAACCCAAAGTTTTGGTATTCTCCTAGTGGACTTTTTTACCACTAATATAATTTTAAAAAAAAAATTACCCAAATGTTTGGTTTACCGATTCCGATAGGGGTATATAATTTTTTAAAAAAACAGGTTTCCCCTGGTCGGATTTGCCAATTCCGACAGGAGGAATCCACGAAATATAACCTAGTCGGAACACCCAATTCCGACTCCCGTATTTTGGTAACCTAATTGCACTTCCCGTATTTTGGCGTGTCAGACCAAAAAGTCCCGCATTTTGGTAATTTCCTCCATTGTTTGTTCTAATATAACTGTTATATTTCCCATTGTTAAATCTACTGATAATTTAATAAATGAATCTTACTCCGTATTATATTAAGTTGTTGGTAATGACTAATGAATACTAGTATTATACATTTGTGGGTTATCGAAATGAGTTTTATGTTATACTCGAATGAGTATAGCATTTTAAAAAAATGAACATACAATAATGAATATACTTAAATAAATAAGATCTATATATCGCACATGAGTGAGAATTTTAATATTTTGAACTACTCACTTCGTAAGTAATGTATGCTCATTCGACACTTGTACATATTACGTTCATTTTAAAATGTCATAAGTACTGTATAATCATTCTCTACATGTACTATTCTCATTCTATAATGTTATATCAAAGCTTGTTTTGAGTATATTGCTTAAAACAATGTGTATTGATGTAATATTATAAAATGAACACAATAAATATGATATTCTTTTTTTTTTTAATATGTACCCATTAAAAACTACTAATAATTGAGTAAATAATCCTAATTATATTTAGCAAAATTAATGTGCTCATCATTTTATAACGCCATATCAAATTATCAATACTCATTTAGTTTAAACGTTATACTCATTTAAATATATCAAAAAACTCATTTCAACATTTCACATACATAATATATTCATTAAAAATTATTTTAATGTTATTACATTCATTATCTAAATGATCTTTATTTTTATGCATGAGATATCTAGCAGTCACATTAAACTCTTATTTTAGAATTACAAATATTGTTATGCTTAGTTTATGGTGTAACATCAATGCACATTTTTTTTTGCATATTATACTCATTTTAATTAGCGTAACAAAAACTCATTTAAATATTCCACATGTAATGAACACAGTACAATTCAAATTAACATAATTGGTTATATATTGTGATTTATTACAAGAATCATTAAAAAGCCATATTCCAACCATTTTAAAAGTACTTTAAGCATCGCGCTAAAAATAATAATAATAAGTATAAAAGTAGAAAAAAGTTAGAAAATCTATTCACAACAAGACTTCAAGAAAAAATCATACTGATGTCAACATATGATACAGGTGCAGCAATCAACAAAATATTCGATCAAGAAAGAGATGAAAAAATCAGTTGGTAATTTTTTTGAATATAACACCCCCTCATCAAACTGTGCGGGAGATACAATGCGCAGGTTGCCTTTTAAAAAATGAAATTGCTGACTAGAAAGATTTTTAGTAAATATATCTGCCAGCTGAAGACTAGTAGGTACATATTAAACCACAAGATCACCATGAGCCACGCGTTCACGAACAAAGTGATAATCAATCTGGATATGTTTACTCCGAGCATGTTGAACAGGATTTGCAGTCAAATAGGAAGCAGAGATGTTGTCACAGAACAAACATACCGGTGTCGTGACAGGAAAGCCAAGCTCGAACAGGATGGACCAAATGTGCAGTGTGTCCTGTACCCTGTAGGCAAT